CTTTTAACTTGTAATTTATTTAAATTAATTGTGAACATTTGTTTAACCTCAAAAATCCAGGTTTTTAATTAAATGTTGCTGAAACAGCAAGTTACTCAGTGGATCTGTGCTCGACAATGCAGCCTAGGTGGAGTAGTCGAACACAGATCCACTGATCCTTCAACACAGAGCATCTTCAGAAGACAAGATGATAAAGTAAATTAAATAAAAATCAGTATTGTTACATACAAGTGTGTATTGAATGGTTCGATTCGGGTACATGTATTGTTGCAACCCTAGTAATTGTGCATAAAGATTTAAAGAACTATTTGTTTGAACCACTATAAACTGTAGACTGTGGCGATCCTCTTAGCTGGTCCAAATGGATTTTGCCTTCTTGAAAAATGCAGAGTGGTTATTACAAACCTTATTATTGAAACTTTTAAAACAAACATTTTCAATTACAGTTATTATAGCAGTAATCTTAAGAAAATCCTACCTAACCACTATATTTCCTCATGCCACCATATATTAAAATGATCACAAACGCCTAAATTCTGTTTGCCCAATAGGCTTTGTTAGAAAATGTGTTTGAGGTAGATGTGGCATTTTTATATCAGAAGACAGCAACATCGTTACAAAGCAGCGAACCCAAGATTTGACTCCATTATACTGTTTTAAACTACATATAATAGGACATTTGTAACTCTCAGTGTTCATACAGGACTGTGTGACAGGTCTGCTGGAAACAAGACGAGGAAGGAACAACTGCACTGTTCTGAACTGGACAGCGTTTTATGAGCGTCCCTCCCTAGACATTCATTGCCACATTTTAACCCTGTTCATTCACACAGAGCCACAACCCCTGAGTGTACCGAGGCCTGCAGAGCCAAAAGCTTTATTTACTTCCACCTTTTCCAGACGACGACCTGTGACACTAGTTTACTGTCTACTGAGAGACAGGAGTAGACTCAAACAGCTGGGTACATGTGCTCACTGCTGAAAGGAAAAGTGACAGGAAATGACAAAGCATAGACTTTTATGTAGTGAACCTCATTCTAACGGCACTGAAGATGGTATCTCAGAGCTGCAACTGCTGGGGGAAAAATAGCACTCGAAATGACGAAAAGTGGGGTTTCTGCTGTAGTCTTACATAACTCTGTGACCAAAGGACTTATAAAAGTGGGGCCACCTTTTTCACAGGCCGATTTTACTCGCAAAACCATAAAGATTACTTTATTGTGTACCTCCACCCACCTTGACCTAATTTGTACCTAGCGTAGCAGGCGCCCCCAGATTTGTGTTTTATCTTAAACACCTAAAATGTGAACAGGCAGTTACTGATCATCAGCATCATTTTTAGACCTGGAACAGGGCTCTAGAGTGCGACCAATTTGGTCGCAAATGCGACCAGATTTCCTAATAGTGCGAGTAAAAAAATGTCCGTTCGAGGGCGAGGGGGAGCGGTCGCCCGCTGAAACTAAAAGTTTTCATCATGTTCTATAAAAATAATCCAGCAGTATCAATGGTCGCCCGCCGACAGTCTCATCTCTACTAATAACACAGCGCTCTGCTCGCGGGCTCCACACACGTTTGTTGTTCTATCCTCATGGGGACTTTGCATTGGCTTCCATTCATTTCCCTGTCCCTATAGCCAACCATAACCTCCCAGGTATACTACACACCTGACCCAAACTCTAACCTCACCAGGCTGTGTGTACCAGGGAAATGGTCAATAATTGTACCCACCATGAAGCAAAATTCACACACGTGCGCACATGCATAGCGAAACAACCGTAGTTTTTTTAAAAACCCAGATCAGAGTCTGAAAACCAGTTCTTTCTTAAGTGGAGATGAAAATAAGATGTGGACGGTTGCTCGCTCGTCCATCTTGTTAATTTAACTGTCGGGGTCTGAGCGCTACAGATCATTTCAGCAGGACGAGGAAGCTCACCTGTATGGCAGGCCACTTTTGCACTTAATCTACTTCACCACAGTTACATTCCAAGTATCTGAAATTGGTTATTCTGGGTCTCAGCAGGATAAAACTAGACATATTAGATATTTAAGTGAAACAATATAAGATAATAAGATTCAACTAATGCTGAAATTGCAGACTTTTGTGTGTTATTATTTTTAAAAAATCTGCACAACCTTTTAATAAATATCAGTAATATTTCTGTTATTAATCATTATTCTCTGTTCATCATTCTGGTTTATCCAAGGTCAAAGATCCATAGTTGCCCATCTGAGGGGCTTGTGTCTAAAAGAAATGTAACCATGAAATGTTTAAGATGTTTATAAGACGTTCAGCCCTTAAACATTTGCACTTAGAATTTTATAGACTCACTTTAAATACGTTTCAGTAAGTTAAATGTCTACAATTCTGGTTCAAATAGAGAACTTTATGTTTACTAGATTGTTAACTAATTATTTTCGATTTAATATTGTCTTAATGAACAGTGATTTAAAAAATAACCTGTAAAACTCTGATGTTAAATGTGACGTGGTTGAAAATTTGGGTGCACTTAACCTTTGCACCGGTGCAACCAGTGCAAAAAGTTAGTCTAGACCAGTGGTTCCCAAACTTTTTATCTTCTGACCCACAAAATATCCATGGCAAAAACTTGTGACCCCAAATATTACTGGTCNGTGTGTGTGTGTGTGTGTGTGTGTGTGTGTGTGTGTGTGTGTGTGTGTGTGTCACAATCACACCACATTTCAACACAATATTTTGTCAAACTGCATAAATCATAATCATTTTTGTGTTTTCTTGGCAGCCATTTTGAATAAGGTTGACTCAGATCATCATGGTGTTTGACTCATAATGTTGCCCACTTAACACTGAGCTATGTGCTGCTCATTAAACAGAGGTGCACCATGTACAGTATAAAAACAGTGAAGTGTGTCTGCCTCTCATTTATCTGATTTCTGAGGAATACTCCTTTTTTTTTCTGCATGAATAGTGAAATAGTAATGTCTTTGTTGGATCAGGACACCTGCATAGCTGAACTGACAGAAGACCCCCACCGCCCCCTTCCAAGATTGTAAATAAAAAAAAACCATGAATCTGCGATAGTTCACCAGCAGAGGGCGCCACTGTCAAGGTGTTCCACAGTCCAGACTGTTGAGTGGTTCAAAGAAATGTTTTAAAGTTCCCTGATAAATGTGGGCTTTAAAGTTCACTTCAACACGTCACAAGTTCCAAAACTAGATCAGAACAGGAGTATTGGTATTGGTAATTGGGGATGGGTACAACCTAGGTGAGCGGGGGCCTCATAAATGGGCCCATTGCTCTCCCCAGAAGATACTGGGCTTTAATCAAACCTTTTTGTCCCTCGGATGAAGGACACCAGGTTAGAAACCCTCAGTGTTCTAATCTTCTCGGGATCCACAAAGGGGTCTCCAAGAATTCTTTCCCTTAGACCAGTGGTTCCCAAACTTTTCAGCTTTTGACCCACAAAATAACAGTAGCAGAGACCTGTTCCCCCAACTATTTTTGTATGATAAACATTTGTGTCAACAAAACATAGACATAGTAACAATATTTTATATTTAACGTACCCATTTTAAACACACTAACCTCACTCATTTATTGTAGCAACTAAGGCAAAAACGCAATTAATTCCTAAAATCTTTTCAGGACCCCACCTTGATGTTTTGGGACCCCACTTTGGGTCCCGACCCCAACTTTGGGAAACACTGGGGACAGCGGTTTCCTGTTAGACGAGTTCTCAAATACAGTTTTAGTCAATTACTAAACGGGTATGAGAGGATTTCAGCGATTTTGGGACTATTTTACGAGATGTTTGAGAATCCTGTGATTGTTTCAAGACATTCAGGAGACTTTCTGGACACTCCCTCGTGACAGCCCACTGAAATACCACCTTAAGAGAAGGGAAAGTGACAATTAACTGCCTTTTTTTTGCAGTGAACTTCACTCTGACTGTGCCAAAAAAATGTGTTAAAACTTTAAGATGACAAACTCACAACAAAAGTGGAAGTTTTTTGGAAAAACCTTTCCAACAGAAAAGGCCACAGTAGAAAGAGGCCTCTCCTGACTTTTACCCAGTAATAAGACCGTAGATCAGAAATCAAAGTGATAGAAACCATATGAGACTCCATTTGCATGTGACTCATGCAAACCGTGGGGAGCAGCAGGAGACAGCAGCTCCACTCAGCAGATGAGCCTCTGTGTGGAGCAGAATAATAACAGCACGCAGAAAAAAATGGATTCCACTTTGGTGTCTTTAACAGTCATCTACTTGTCCTAATCCTCCTGGTCAGGATGCAATCAGCCGCCCGGCCTCTGTAAAGCCTTGCCCTGGCTGTAAAACGCTGCTGGTGCCATCAGGCGCCAGGCAGCCATTTATGTGCATATGGAGCCAGTTGAGTCTCCACGTAAATGGCTGATGCATTTCAAATTTTTCTTCCTAATTGCTGAGGGCCATCAGCACCCCACGGCCTCCTCCTGACGCCTTTAAACCCACCGCCGTCCTGCCCGGAACACAGCCCGCTTCAACCACCGCGTCTCCCCGGCTCTCTAGAAATAAACCCCTCTTTTTTTATTTTTAAATAAATGGGGCTATTTTGGACGAGGAGTCGCTCTTTTCTCCAGCCCGAGTTAACCCCTCGAGACTCCGGATCAAACAATGAAACGGATTGGAGGCTTTCCAAATAACATCACAACACCTCGGTTAGCATGGAGGTGATTTTAAAGCAAAAGGCTCGATGTAAAAAAGTCTGCGGGCAGAGAGAGACGTGTCCGCGGGGACTCCGTGCCTTTAAAGGTGAATTAACGGTTCGAGGCGGCGGTGCTGGTCGCCAACATGTCAGCCTGCATCAATAAATAGCAAAGCCAACGCGCTCTATTGTCTGATAGCATATCAACATCTCCACCGGCAGGGAAGGAGGGGGGAAAAAAAGCGACACAGCCGCTAATTAGCCATCCTCCTGCGCCGCTGCCGCTCCGGAACACCCCCCGACCAAGAGCCAGGCCCTGCGCAGATCCTCGGACTCACCTGTGTCTCCTTTCGCCCGAGTGTGTACCGTCTCCGGGTTCACGGTCCGGTCCTCCTGACGCGCTGCAGCGGATTCTAACCACCAGTCCCCGGCACCGGCAGGCAACACTGAACCGCTGATTGGGCCTCGGCAGACCCTCGGCTCCTCGTTGAGGCCAGACGAGGGCGCTCATTGGTCAGACGGTCACTCACACCGGCCTCCGATTGGCTGCTCGCTTCCACGGCAGAGCCAGACGCGCGCGCTGATTGGTCGTCGATTTCCGCGGCGGAGATGGAGAAAGATGTGATTGGCTGGTGTGACTGTTGTTGTCTGTGTCTGGATGGAGAGCCGTGCTGCCTCCATTGGGGCTAAAGAAACAATGTGTTTGGGAAGTCAAGTGGGTTAGCTGGCTCTTTCTGCTTCCTGCATTATTTATCAAACTGAACGGTTGATCTGTTTACTGTGGGCGCGTGAAGCAAAACCCGATTACTCCTAATTTTTACCTCAGAGATAATCTAAAATAGTTTTTGACCGGATTTCTGCGCGCACACGTGCACGACAAAGAACCAAGGCAGGCTAAACTGAGAATGCATCGGTGATTAAAAAATAAAATAAATAAAAAAAGGTCGTCATTTTGTCAGAATCACTGCAGCCCAAAGCACTGCTCTGATTGTTAAAACCTCTCTAATGTTCACATGAAGATCACAGCATCTTGCTCTTTAAATAGTGTTCAAATAGATCTAACCCTGACTGGGAATCACAGTGATCTACTTTAAATATATATTTTATTGTAAACAAAATAATTTTCTAAACAAATAAATATAACAATTGACCTGTTATGACTGCGGATCTACTTTACGGTGCAAAAAGCCCTCATTCCTTTTTTATTTTTCCACAGTTTATCCTGTTATAATGACATAATTTCAAGTGTTTCACTGTGTTTTTATGTGATAAGCCAGAACAAAGCTCATCTTCCCTGTCCCCGGTGAAAGAAAAGCATCACCATACCATGGTGTTTCCACCACCGTGTTTTACAGTGGGGATTCAGGGTGCCGTTTAGTTTACTGCCTCACAAAACGTTTTGAATCGATGAACATGTAACGATTCCTCCCTGAGAGTTTCATCAAAATCCGTGAAGTGGTGACAGAGATATTTTGCTGACAGACATTCAGGCTTGTCGCTAACAGTTAATGCTAAAGTTTTAGATAAAAGTCTTGTTCAAAGAGTAGAAATGTGTGTGTGTGTGTGTGTGTGTGTGTGTGTGTGTGTGNCTACAGTGATAGGACTCATCACTACAGTGATAGGGCACATCACTACAGTGACAGGACACATCACTACAGTGATAGGACACATCAGTACAGTGATAGGACATATCACTGAGGAGGATGAAGCTGCTTACAGGAGTGAGGTAGCCGGGCTGCTGTCTTGGTGTGAGGACAACAACATCACCCTCAACACCGACAAAACGAACTAGCTTATCCAGTTGAGAGGGTGAGCAGCTTCAAATACCTGAGTGTCCACCTCACTGAGAACCTGACCTGGACTGAAAACACCACACAGCTGGTCAAGAAGGATCAACGGAGACTTGACTTCCTGAGGAGACTAAGGAAGTTTGGCATGTCAACAAGGATCCTCAGGAACTTTTACAGCTGTGAGAGCGTGTTGACCAGCTGCATCACAGCCTGGTACAACAGCACCACTATGGACCAAACCAGTAGCGTGCACAGACATTTTCGGGGGCAGGTACTTAAATCGAAAAAGCGGGCACCTTGTCCGGTGCTGTCCTAATAATGTGACATTATGGACACATCTTGTACGTTGTGCATATTTATCTATTTTAAATCAGATTTTTTTCTGTCTGATACAGATGTTTAATATTCAACACTCTACAGGCTGGTTTCTGTAACAAACTGGCAACAACAGAACTAAAACTGGTAAAGACAATTTTTGTAGTCTTTATAAAATAACTATGATCAAGTTTATTTCCTCAAAGTTAATGATGGCTTTTTTGTTATATGGAGAATCTTCCTTCAGTCTGTTTCCATGATCTGAATTCTAACAATTCAGCTTCATCTGTGTCTGACGAAGGATGGCTGGAAAACATAGAGCTGCTTCTCTGCAGTAGCTAAAACACCAACAATATGAAATATGTTTATTTGGGTGAAACCGCTTGGTGACAAAGGTCAGTGCAATAAATTACAACATTTTGATTTGAATTTATTTATTTATTTAACAGGAAAAGATTATTAAAAATCAAGCCTGACTCAGCATAATTGCTGTTTTACAGCAGGTTCCTGTTCT